CTCCAGATAAGTTCCACTTACTATAATTTCCGGTCATACAGCCAGTTTTTAGAACCCTATTTCGACTAACTTTCTGTATGATATATTGTCTAGATCCAAAAGTGATTAATCAAACGCAACGGCATTTAATATATGTATTTCAATTCCGTTATTTGTACCCGACTATACTCCAGTTTCCTTTGCCCACAATTGTACAATTGAAACAATTCCAGTATATATTTCAGTGCTACTATTCAACAAAAATATTTCTTAAACACATTTTCTATTTCAATTGTGTGTAACATATAAATCAGCCACAGTAAAAAATTCCCGATCATAAAACTTTTCCCTAAGATTTGCCCTCTTTATTTTTTACAGTGTTCCAGCTGTGTGTGTATATTTACATACATATTCTAATACAGTCCACTCTAAGTACTCTTTCTTATACAGTCCACTCCAACTACTTTTCTCGACCTACAAATACAGCTAAACTATTTCTAAAATTAAAAACAAAGTTACAATATCCACAAATTTACTCCAGCAATTCGTTTGCAATTTAGTTTTGCAGGGGACAAACAAACGCACCGACATACAAACATAAGCGAAGTCGTTTCAATTCTCGCAACGTTATTCCGCTATTCGAACCCCACATAAGTACATATGTATACGTATATGATATTTTCGCCAGTGCACAGTGGGTCACATACAATATTAAAGTCCGTAATTCTTTACATAAGTCCGACCATCCGATATAATAAATATTTATTGACTCTGCCTATCCGACAGTGTGACCGTATATATTTACAATCTTAACTGGTTCCTAAGTTCAATTTGATTCCAATCCGTTTCCTTACTTCTGAATTAAAATTCTAAATTATTTACACCAGTAAAATCCGCTTTAACCCGATTTATGGCCACAGCTGACTGTCTGATCCACTTTGAGGAAACTGTGAACGCTCCAGGTGCTCCTACCCCAACGTTATCCGCCTGTAAAATCCGACGAGATCACTTCAATTCCTTGTGGCAAACGGTAAGGGCAGCATACGACGTATGCTCCGACTGCATTATAGCTGCAGGCGAGAGCGCTGCACACACGAAATCCATACTAAAGTCCAAGTATTACCAAACTTACTCCACTTATGAAATATTTGCCGCCCAGCTGATAGAACAAATCCAAAAAGGCTCCACCCAAATACCTCAAGCTCCAGTAACTCCGTCTCAAAATTCCACGTCTTATGGCTGTCGGCTCTCTCCTATCGACACAGACGTTTTCTCTGTCGATTATCTTCGCTGGGCGACTTTCCGGGACCTTTTCACGGCAATATACATAGACAATCCGAGTCTAACGCTTGTCGAAAAATTATTCCATTTAAATTCAAAAACAAGTGGCGAAGCTCATTCCATAGTTTCAAGATCCCCACTCACCAATGATGGCTTTCGCTCAGCCTGGAATAACCTAACTGAGCGTTTCGAAAATAAGCGATTGCAGGTGAACAGTCACCTGAAAACACTTTTCAATGTGCAATCCATAGCACAGGAGTCGGGAGCAGCCTTAAAGGAACTTCAACGCACTTTTCAAGGTTGCTTAACTTCCTTAAAATTTTCCGGTGTTAATATTGAGAATTGGGACCCTATCCTGGTTTATATGTGCTCGACAAAACTACCAAAGCTCACTCGCTCATTATGGGAGCAATCCATCCAAAATAAAGCCGAAATTCCTACGTGGCTTGAGCTTGATTCCTATTTGACAGAGCGCCATCTAACTCTTGAAGCCATTGATAGCTTCCGATCTGCCAATTTCCACCACGTCCAGTCCAAAGACACAAATCGAGTGGCAGAATTTCCAAAAATAAATTCTTTCAACACAAGGCTAATTCCGATACCCAAAGGCTGCGATCTGTTTTCGAAGAAGAACCACCCCGTGCGTATATGTCCACGCTTCCTACGAATGACGGTAGACGATCGCCTAGCCTATATTCAAAGGAAGCAGTTGTGCTCCAATTGCTTTGCAAACAGCCATCAATTCCGGGATTGCACAAGCGCTCACAACTGTCTCACCTGCCAAGATCGGCATCACACATTGTTGCATCAAAACAGCGGCCCTACTACTCCGCCGATTCCATCCGACCCTCCAAGGCCAGTATCCGCCTCAGTTCCACACATCATTTTGTCCTATTCAGCGCAAGTTTCCGTACAAAAAGTCTCCCTAAGAATACTCCATCCAAATATTGGGTTCCATACCCCACCTTGGATGGCAGACGTACTCGAGGTATTAAATCCTACCAATGCCGAGTCTGCCAAAAGATCCATCCTCTACGGAAGTGCCACCACTTTCTACGGCAAAGTCCCCAGAATCGGCTTCAGGAAGTATATATCCAGAAGTACTGCTCCAATTGCTTGGCTCACAATCATTCCAAGGACTCCTGCCGCAGTGGTCACCACTGCCACAAGTGTGGAAAGGCCCACCACACTCTCCTACATACGGACGACCGATCTTCACTACCAACATATCCCTGAGCCTACTATCCTGAGGTTCTTGCTACGGGTGTCCTCGCAAGAGAAGGAGGAGAATGTTTACGTGAAAAGGGCGTTAAATTTCAGGAGGCAGTGTCGAGCGGCAGTTTTATCCAGATGTCAACATCTCGCGCGCTCGCACTGCCGTCCGCTCCCCCTCTCCTTCTCTCCCCTAAGTCTCCGCTCTGCTCTGGAGCGCTTAAGTTAAGTTAGGCTTAAGCAGTTCTTATTTCCAAGTGTACAAATAAACATCGACGCAGTTGGCATATACACATTTCAAAACAAGCACACCATTTCATATTGGGATATTGGGAAGCGAACTCGTATCTTAAAATCCAGTGCAGAACTTACTTCAATAAAGCTAAATACAACAATAGCGAATCTTCCTGGAACTTATAACACAAAGCTAAGCCTATACAAAAAGGAAAAAAGAATACCAAAGCGAAGCTTCCTGGAATACTTACCATTTAAACCTATACAAAAAAAAAGAATATCGAAACGAAGAGAATGGGCTAACTTCTGCAGTAGCATAGAATCTACTGCGGAGGCATCCAGACTCAGAAGAATCTTAGCAAAATTTCCAGCAACCGTTTGCTACTTAAAAAGCAATGCAATTACCTGGACGGAAAACAGCCACGAAACCCTTCAACTCCTGCTAGACACCCATTTCCCTAAAAACACCCAAAAAGTGGAGGACCTCTACATAGAGGAGAATCTCGAAGATCAGAGCATAGCCAATATCTCAAGCCCTGACCGCATCAAGTGGGCTATTAACTCTTTTAAGCCCTTCAAATCCCTCTGAACTGACGGGTTCTTCCAGGCCCAACTTCATCGGACACTAAACACATCCCTCCCTATGCTGATAGCCATCTTCCACGGCTGCCTAGCACTAAACCACATTCCATCCAGGTGGCTGAACATTAAAGAAATATTTATACCGAAGGGCGGCATACCCTCCCACATTACCTCAAAAGACTTCTCTCTTTCTTTCAGTTGAAGACCCTGGAAAGGCTAATCGACAACCACATCAGGCTAACTACCAACCCAAGCCTACTCTCCAACGCACAACAGGCGTACCGTAAAGGCAGATCAACAGATACCGCCCTCCCCTCCCTAGTACCTTGTATAGAAAGGGGATTCCGCAAAAGGTATACTCACTGGCAGCTTTTCTAGACATAAAAGGCCCTTTAAACACCTTCATTCCAACGGCTATCACTGGTGCTCTGACTAAACTGGGCATTCAACGGCCTATAGTGCGACTTATACACTATTGGATCAGCACACTCTACCAGGGCTGTCAGTAGAGGAAACCCCCAAGGGGGTGTACACTCACCTCTTCTATGTTTTATAGTGGTCAACAAATTACTATTTTATATTGCGCTGCGTGCTGGCTTGTCTTGTATCGCTTCCATTTTTTAAATGCTTTATCCCGTTTGTCAATAAGTACTTTAATGCTGACTAAACCATGGATTTTCACGTATCTTGGTCATTTTTGTCACTAATGGTACTGATCGATTATATAAGTATATTATATTATCTTGTAGGACATTCAATTGAGAATTAATATTTGTATAGTCATAAATAGAGTCCCAGTCACATAAATGACAGTCGGTACTTAGCAAGGCGTAGTCAATATTTTTAAAGTCCCTATAAACTATATAGTTTTTAGTTAAGTCTGTATTAATATTATAAATTAAATAAACTAGATTGTGTTTTGAAAACATTGGCACTGAAAGTTGTTCCAAAAATAAGTCAAGTAGGGTATCACTGTGGCTTGAAAAATGTGTAGGTACTGATGAGTTTACTAAATTTAAGCCAATAGACTCGATGTCGTCCGGTAATTTATTTTCCTTTAGAATATTGCTGTTGAAATCCCCAGCAAGGATAACATCCGAATAAGGGATAGACATAGAGGACAATAAGTCAATTAAATTTTGGTAGTCAATAAATCGGTTTGGTCTATAAACGCAGCCTATTAAATTTTTGATCATAATAATGTATTCACGATTTGCGTATAATCTGCTTTCCGAAAACATTTTATCGGACAAGATATTGATAAGAGCAATTTATAAGATTGGTTTAAAAGCTCAACAGATATAGATAAAGTTGGGCGATAAGGATCTTCAGGAAGGGAAATTGACTCTGGAAACTATGGCAAAAGCGACATCACTAATGAACATGAGGTCCAAAAGTCTATTCCGATTATTTTTAACAGAGTTGCTTTAAGCGACAACAACTGAATGGCATATAGGTGGTTTAAATGTACTATGGAATCAGACTTTGGAGGAATGTATAAGCAGGTCAAAAAGATGAAAGCTGAGCCAATACTAACTTTTACTGCAACAAATTCAGTACCAGCATCGTTAGCAACAGGAAACAAGTCGGAGGAGAAATTGTTATTTGCCGTGATAAGGAAACACCACCAGCAAAAGAAAGACGATCCGTTCTATAGTAGTAGTAGTAGAAGTATTCTTTATTTATAAAAAAAAAACATTGAACAAACGGCATTTCAAGTGTACAATTAAAAAGATTCACAAATTCTTATATAAGCAAGAATTAAAAAAGGAAATTAAATATATCGACCTGGTTATTTTAACCGTCTGTCGATCTCCGCTTTCCCAGTGTCAAAACTGCACAGTGTACTACACCTGACCTCCCGGGTCTTCCCCAGATATCAGATCGTTCTAACAATCAGTTTAACAACTAGGTGAGCTGAGTTACGTGTTTGATTTATAATATGAAGTGTTTAAAAGATTTTCGTTAAAATGTTGTTTCGGTACTTTAGAACCTGGTTGATGTAGCTGTAGACAGTTGATCAACATTTCCCATTCAGCGAATTGAATACATCCTTCGGTTGCAACTGTGCCTTACCAAAATGCAGCAGGCGGAACTCCCGTAGAATGGGGCAGCGTCCTATAAAGTGCACGACGTTTTCCTGCTCCCTCATATTGCAGATCGGACAGATCGGTCGCTGGCTGTCACGGTTGGGATATAGCTTAGTGGGAGGATTTCTCCCCTGGCCACGAAAATGTTACGAATCCTCTCAACGGTGAAAGCGTCAGTAAAATAGTTATCAAGTCCCAAATCATAATTAAGGGACCTATGACTCATCCGAGTTGTGCTTCTCCTTGATTCCATTTTGAGCTGAGTCCTATAGATTTCGTCCATATGTGCTAGAATACTTATCGCCCAATGCGACCATTGTGAAGGATCGCCTAACTGTAGCCTATATCCGTAGGTCTCGACAAGCGTCTTCCATTCTATGACCCATTGCTTACGCTCCTGCATCAAAAAGTTCGCTAGAATTCGTTACAGCCTATGTTCGGGCATGGTTACCACTTTCTGGATATACCTGAAATGCATTTCAGCTGTAAGGATATGCAGCGGCGACAGTCCTGTTTCAAGATATAGCATCCAGTTCGGAGTACATCTGGGTAGACGAAATAATTTCTTTAAGAACAATCTTAGGAGGCTTTCAACTTCTTCATAAGGTGAGGTGCCCTAGACCTGCGCGCCGTAACAAAGGATTGACCGCATTGCTGCACTAAACAGCTTGTACTTGCTACTCATTGGAACGTCCTTTTTTCCTAGCAGCGATTTCCATGTGCAGTTTATGGCTAGTTTTGCTTCTCCTGTAAATGGTTGTTGAAACGACCGTTGTGGTAAATCCAGACTCCCAGATACTTATACGACTTGACAATTTCTAGCTGAATAGACCCCAAATTCCACTTTTCGTTTTGTGCTAGCTTTCTCCAATGCCTCTTGAAAATCAGAACTTTCGACTTCTCGGTGTTTACTAACAATCCCCATAACAAACAGTATTTGTGCAGAGCATTAATCATTGTTTGCAGTTCAACGGGGGATTCGGCGAGGATCACAATGTCATCTGCATACAGCAGAGCCCCGATCGAGCATCCGCATATTTGAATACCGCAACCGATCCGTTCTATAAGTAGAGCTCTTATGAACAAAGACTTCGTGTTCAGAAACTGAAGAGTTAAGCCAGGCTTCGGTCAAAGGCATAAAAGTCAAATAACGCGCTATTAGTGTGAATTTGTTTGAGTTTACCCGAAAGACTGCGTACGTTTTGATAATTAGTGGTACAAAAGCAAGCTAGTTTTTGTACCGGTAATATTGGGAGTTTGGTTCGAGTTTTTAGGCAGAGATGCATGTAAAATAGTGTCAGTAGGCGATAATGAAGGATTCAAAGCATCTGACAGGAAACAGTCTGGAGCAAAAATGTTATATGATGAAATTTACTTGCGTGGTTAAAATTAAATTTGTTAATAATAAAATTATTAGAAGTAGCATTTAACTTACAGCACAGATGATTTTTGACGGCAGACATTAACGGCAACTCATCGGGATTCGGAACATTTGCAGAAGCGTTGGTGCTGCCAGCTGTTCCAGGCAAGGTGAAACTTCGGTAAGTGGTCGCGGTGCGGAAGAGGAGGTGCTAGGAGCGGCATCGGTCACTTCGGTATGTACGGAAGTTGACCTGTCCAACGAAGAAAGGTGCAGAGAGGAGACAGCGAGAGAGCGTGATAAGAAGACGATGTTCTAAGAACGATAGCCTTGTAACGGAAAGCTGCAACGCTGAGCGGGCGTAGGAGCGAGAGTTGTAGGTGGGACGATATAGCCAAAACAACAAGAACACTGTTTTGGTTGTCAGCTTGCTGAGGTACTTTGTGATTTTTTCAAATATAAAAAAAGTCTGTCTTCATAAAAGTCGGCGATTCACAGTGAAGCGGAGTATCGAAAAAGATAAGAAAATACAGGTTGGGATATAAAGATGACTAATTTCAACGATAGGCGAAACGTTTTCGAGAGCGATTGAAAAATACGTCCTTCTTCGCGCACTCGCACTAGCTGATTAACGAGTATCTAGTAGTCGAGGCCATCGACTATAGCGAATTCACTCCCTTTTTCTCTTAATTATGTCTTACCCATTAATCTTAAGTTAAAATCCTTGAATAGTGACATCCTTTCAAAAAATCACCTTCTTGAGAATATGTCATCCTTAGGGATGCATATTGTAAACAAAACATTCTCCACTCACTTCTCAACTACGTGCTTCCCTACTGGTCGTTTTCTTTGCAAAGGACAGCTCAAAAATTCTACACTTCTACCACTTCTATAGACATGAACTAATGTTCTTGACACATGACTTACGTACTGAAAATAACCAAGACGCTCACAGGCTTACTTATAGAAACTAAAAAAATATTAACTATGAAGATATTATAAATGAGACTGCGTCCTATTATTAATCTTTGTAATATCAAGCGACAACAAATCGTGTTAACTATTACCATTTGGCACGCTGCAATTCAATACGCCTGTGTTAAGCTGTACGATTTTGATGAAGCGTGTCGCTTGAGAAAAATTTAGAAAGTGTACTTACTTAGTAGATTGTATAATACCTTTTCGTCACAAAAGTTGATATCAGAACATTTGCTTGCTGAAGGTGGGATCGCACTAGGTCTTTACCTCGTAAAGATATGTCTTTATTTGATAAAGTCTCTGATTAGTCTCTGATTAACATTCGTTGTAGTCAGACGTGTTTTCTTTTCGCTATGAATTCTTTTTCGTGCTCCGAGTGCAATGCTGAAGTTACAGCAGCGCAGCTTCGCGGTTTTGAGGCGGTTCGTTGCTCATCGCTTTGTCGTCGTACTTCTCACACTGCATGTGTTGATCTCCCGGAGGATGCTATTAGATTATTAACAAATATGCCTACTCTGGCAGTGTGATCGCTGTGTTGTGAGTAATGATTCATACTCCAATGTCAGTCAGCGTAAAAAAGGGGTGAAACCATTAGCTCCAGCTTCTTCGATTGGTCGTCAAGGCAACCATGCAGACCTGATGCCTCCCGCACCAGTTTCTACTGCCGCCAGGAACCATGCAAAGAATAACAGGAACAAGAGGCAAATAGTTGGTCAAGCTCCTAGTTGTGAACTACTCGAAGTTGTGCCGAGCAATAAATTCCTTCATATTGGTAGATTCAGAGCGCTCATAAAATCTGATTCTGTGTGTGAATATGTTGCAAATAAGCTAAGTGTGGATACCGCCACCATAATTTGCAAGCCTTTAGTCAAAAATGGTGTAGATGTTGCTACACTGGAATTCGTCAATTTTAAATTAGGAATACCTGAACAGAACTTTCAGACTGCGTTTAGTGATGCGTTCTGGCCCAATCCAATCAAGGTCAGTCGATTCATCCACAAGGATAGGCCGATTGTTGATGGGAACGTTCTGGATTTGCACGATCATCATACATCGGACTCAAAAACCCCCGTTAATCGGCGCCTCTGGTGTCGATTTGACTACGGCAAATTTTTATGATCCTCTTCCTCATCTTCATGCTACTTATTCGCAATGTCAACGTCCGCTGGTTTCGATATCGCTAGCTGCTACCATTACTCACTCATACGCCGCTCCCAGTGCACTCTTAAGTATTGGGCGCCCGTCACTCCCAAATCAAAAACATCATCAGCTGGATTTTTCCTTTTTTGTTCTGTCTAACGGTTATCAAAAGCTCACTGGAGAGCCGTTGTCACCACATTCCATTAAGATTCCCGCTCTAAGGGCGCTTTTCGGATGTGCACTCATCACAATCAAAGCAACATCGGCATCAGCTGAATTTGTCGTTGTCTATTTCGCGCGACGTTTGTCAAACGCTCTCTTGAGGAGCTTCTCTTATCATATTTCATCAAGATTCCCGCGCTCCTCTCTGACGCTACGAAATTGCTTTAATTTCGCATCGACTGCTTTATGTGGCTCTTCCCGATGTCAGCATCTACAACAACATTGTCCATCTCACCTCAACTTGGATAGATATGCTCTGTTAACGGCGACATGGCCATCGCTCTTAAGAACTAGTTGAGTTGCATCAATCCTAGTCTGCATGATAAAATTCGTATTAAAAACACTACATTACTGAAGGCGGTCTGCGGGCCTACAACATTGGGAACGCAAGAACAAATACTTCCTAGGGCATTGGACTATGATGCCTTAAATGCGAATCCGGAGATTGTTGATCGTGCTATTGTGAGTATGGCCCCACTAAAAATTTATTTTCAAAGCATCTCCGGAATGCGGACAAAGGCGGCGCAAGTATACCTTGCCACATCCCAATGCGAGTTTGATGTTATAGTTTTAGTTAAAACTTTGCTCAACATAAACTTTTACTCAAATGAATTTTTCGACTCCAATTTGTACCATGTGTTCCGCATAGACAGAGATAGCACGAAAACCCACTGTGCTAGAGGGGGTGGTGTAATTGTAGCTGTTCGCTGCAATTTCCGCTGCTTGTCAATTGGACTTCTCATTGAAGATACCCTTCTTGATCAAGCTGCGATGTCGATAATTGGAGCATCCGAGACGCTGCAGATTGTGGTGTCATACATACCACCGAATGGTTCATATAAACTTGGCAAGGATCATCTGGAAAACATTACCGACATCTACAATAATCTGCAGGACCATCAACATATCTGTGTGATTGGAGACTTTAATCTATCATCCCTCGTTTGTTCTAAGGATCCGGAGCATCACTCTTCACTGCCAAGCAACATACATTAACCACACGGGATTCTTTTCATCGATGATATTTTCAGTATGGGCTTAATACAAATCAATAATATATTTAATAGCTTACATAAAATTTTAGACTTAGTATTCGTTAGCGCTGATATTAACTTTTCTTAAGTCCAATGTAATTCACCTATAAGCAATTGTGATATCCATCATAGACCATTGCTACTAGGTATAAGCTTTTACAGTTTTTCGCCTTCAGCTGAATATTCACCTAGATTTATTTTCAATGAAACCAGCCTTTGTGCCATCGGAAATGAGATCTCTGCCATTAACTGGGAGTCAGTTTTATCACATGTCAGTTTGGAGTCGTGTTATGACACTTTTGTAGTTGTTATTTTAAACATCATTAAGAACAATGCGCGTGAAAGGGTGCACAATTCGTTTAAGTTGCCATGGTATACGAAAGGTTTGAAAAACCTTTAAAATCTTCGAAATAAATTCTATAGAAGGTTTTTAGTTACACAGGATCCTGGTGATTGGAATAGACACTTGCAGCACAAACGAGAATTTGAGTTTCTAAATAAATTCTTACACTCCGGACTGTGATGGGATTCTGGCCGACCTTCTGAAACAATGTATAGAGGTGCTATGCGTTCCACTAAAAATTCTGTTTGATAAATCATTTTCTAGTGGACACTTTGCGGATAGATGGAAGGTCGCATCCGTGACTCCAATTTTAAAATCAGGGCCGAAGAATAACATTTCCAATTACAGGCCTATAACAAAGATCAGTAATCTTGCTAAACTGTTCGAACGCATTGTTGCCCATAAATTATCATTTCTTGTAAAAGCATATATAAGCACTTCTCAGAATGGTTTTGTTGCAGGTCGGTCAACTACGACTAATCTTGCCGTTTTCAGCAACTATTGCATTCATGCCTTTGATATGCGATCTCAGGTTGATGCTATTTACACTGATTTTGCGAAAGCCTTTGACAAAGTTAGCCACAGTGCCCTACTGGCAAAACTGGCCCGCTTGGGTATACATTCGGCATTACTAAATTGGATAAAATCATATTTACACCATCGTCTTTATAGAGTTAATATTAATGGAAAATTCTCGGATTCCTATTTGGCAACCTCTGGCCTCCCTCAGGGGAGTGCTATGGAACCTCTGCTTTTCATCATTTTCATTAAAGATGTGAGGTTCTGTCTATCTTCAGAGTGTCTCCTGTATGCAGATGATTTAAAATTTTTTAAGTCTATTAATATTAGCGACAGACTCACAATTGGTTCAACATGACTTAGATTCATTGAGCTCCTAGTGTAGCCGAAATTCGCTTCCTCTTAAAATAAGCAAGTGCTTCTATGTCACTTACAGTAAATCCATATACAACTTCGTCACATCCTATAATATCAATGGTCAACCTCTACAACTGCGGCAGGAATCCGTGGATCTAGAAGTGTTGTTTGACTCGAAATTTAAGTTTGCATCATGCCCAGGGCGCATGCTGTGTTTGGATTTGTGAAACGGAACGCATCACTATTCACGGATTCCTACACTAGACTTGCGCTTTATTTTGCATTTGTCCGATTTAAACTAGAAAATGCCTCTCTTATTTGGAATTCCTTCACTACCACTCATGGAAACAGAATAGAACGACCACAGAAAGAATTTTTGAAATTCGCCTTGTTGCCGCTAAGGTTCTTAGACCCTACCCCTTCATACCACCAGCAATGTAGGCTTGTTCACCTACCATCCCTTGAGCATCGTAGAAGTATCCTCGCCATTTGCTTCATCTCTGATTTGGTGGATGGTAGTATCGACTGTCCAGAACTACTCTCGAAAGTTGGTTTTCACGCCTCGTCTAGACAACTTCGGAATTTTTATCCCTTTTTTCTCGAGCTGCGGCGGACAAATTATTCCCAAAATGAGCCCCTCTATAGGGCCTTATATGAGTCTAACGCACTTCCAATTGATATGCAATTGGACTACTTCTCAAGTAAATCAATTCTTAAGCATAGGTTAGTCAATTATTTTGTAAATTTTATTATTATTATTATTATTTATTGTTTAGACTTCCTAACGCTACAAGTTCTAAAACTTATAAATTACTGCGCTAGTCACAACTGGTAAACATATTTAAACTTGGACAAAATTGGTTCTTAAATCTAATGACATACATTGTTACATTAATTGCTGAACATTTAGAATGACAAATAAACTTAAATCGATATTAAAAAAAACTCAAGAAAAGGTTTTGGGGATAAGTCGCAATGTTAAGATAGGATATGATACCTTATAGCAGACTAGAAGTGCTATTTTTTAGGTGTGAGAGAAGTTTTGTCTTAAATAGTGTTCGCTCCTAGTTTCTCTTATGAAGTTGGGAAGCTCGTTCCACGTTCTAATCGTATTTATAAAAAATTGTCTATTTGAAAGCAGAAACCTGTGTCGGATGCAGATAATATTCTTTGTTCTTGTAGATCTGGAGAATTGTAATTTTTAAAATAAGTATAATGGCTCTCTGGTGTATATAACTTTGTGTAAAAAGATTGTTTTCTACTTTTTATATAATCTGCCAAGCTTATATCAAATATCTTGTAAGCAAATTGAGTTACATGGTCAGATCTATGCAAATTAAATATAAAACGCGGAATACTATTGTATGCTCATATAG